CACCCAGGGCCTATGGCCGAAAGCGCACGCAAGTTGAGTCAGGTGTGGAGACAGACAGCGTGCGCTAATGACCGTTCATACGCCGTGAGGAACCATCGATCAGCGTGCACCCACGACAACTGCTCACACAGCGTCGTAAACTATCGATCGGCGTGTAGGCCAAAACACCGGTCGCACACCATAGGTCAGGATTGTTCCAGAAAGAGCAAACCCCTATAAATATGCTGGAGTGGGCAAGCTGGAAAATCTACTGTCTTTATGTTGTCCTGAATAAAGTCTCCTCCAAGTATGATCGAAATCACGCAAATGGTGGGCTCTCTCTCTATCTGTCGTCACAATATGACCTTCTAACTCAGTCTTTGTTGTGTCGAAGACTCGAAGGGGTCGTTTTGGGTATAGGTGCACGGAGGTTTGAAGCCCCCCCCCAGCTGGCTAGGCAAAGTCAAGATGACTGAAGTTAGCCACAAGCGTGGTAGCCAACGAGATTAAATTCTTATCTACGCAGGTGCTGATCCCAACCGCTGACCCTCTGAGATGGCAGTTCCTTGATCTAAGGTACGTTAAATTGCCGTAAAGTTCACGTTAGAAAGATGTAATTCCAACTGACCATAAGTCTTGAATAGAATTAAGTTATGAGCAAAGTAGAAGACTGGTCGAGTACCGGAACAATTTGTTTATTATTGTGAGCTGTCAAACGCCTGCAAGAGTTCATCTTTAGGGATAGCAGCAAGAAGTGACAATAATAGGGAGTTGTAAGTCAATCCATTAGCAGTGACGCAAGTCTAGAAGTGGCTGCGCAGGGCTCTGTACTCCGGCACCAAGTCGATACACCGATTGAGCTCCCCTCCGTTCCCTCGGCTTCAAACGCGACTTCTAAACAAAATGTTCCGACGCTCGATCAGTCTTCTCCTTTATTCCTGCAAACACCTGGAACGCAAACCTTTGCATTCATTTGAGAAGCTAGGCCTTCGGTTTGCAAACCTCAAAGCCATGATAGTTGGTCCATTTTGATAGTCTAATAACGTGTTTGGTTCTGATATTTGACCCACCTGTTCGCTCAGACACTTAGACACAATAACTACGTTTACAGCCGGCAACTCTTAGACGTTTTGTTTAACATGACAGGTCCTCAAAAACTTAGGCACTGGATCAGACCCGATCGTTGTGTGTGTCTCGGCGCCTTGTTCGTGACAAGTCTGCCACCTGATGCCTCGAACTTCGCCTACGCGTGCTGGCGATGAAACGGATATATCCCCCCGTGTTCAAAATATATGTGTATGCTTAAGCCACATTCAATCCACCTGCTCACTTGGACACTTAAACATCACCCCCACGTTAACAACCGGAAACTAGCAGGCGTTTTGTTTAACACGACAGAATCAAGGGTCTCTAAAAACTTTGAATTTCATGAGGACACTTTTTGTGGACTAATGTGTTCTTGAAAGTGACCAGTTGAATGTACAGTCTATTTTGACTGTATGTGCATTCATTAATTTTAACTTTGGATTGTCTAAATTCCGTAAATATTCCCATGGTTAATCTTAAAAGTCAGTTTATGGCAAACAATTTTTTTCAGCAACTCGTCATCAGGCCAAACATTTGCAGGGAAAATGAACGCTGTAAATAACAATTAAAATTTGAATATGTAGAAAAATCAATAACTGTCTAACACGGGCGCTGATTGGCCACTGCGGACTATGTCAGTTTGCGCATGAAGGCTATATCAGCGTGCTGGTTGAGAGATTGCCGCTAGTTGGAAGGGGCGAAATGCTATCGCCTCCTGGTGCCGGTAAAGGCCGCGGAAGTGTAAGAGCTTGTGTCAGCGTCTTTTGACAACACAGCACTGGATTTTCTAGCCGTATAGCTACTGCTTCTGCTGTTGCTAGCATCCGTTGGCGTAGGCCTTTAGAAAAGTTAGATGGTGTCCGGTGGG